GCCCAACCGACCATGGGCTGAAACCACCAAAACTGAGCTAAAATAAATCTTCCTTTGTCTTTTTTGTTTGTTTGTTTGTTTGTTTGAGACAGGGTCTCACTTTTGTGGTGCAGGCTGGCCTGGAACTTCTGGTGATCTCCCCTGCTGTCTCACCTCCCAAGCGCTGGGGTTAGTGTCTTCATTTTTAAAATGGATAACCTCAAGCCTTTGTTACAGTAACAGAAAGGTGACTGAAGCATACAGGATCACTCCTTACAGCCCTCCCTGCCCAGAAGCAGTGAGCCACTGAAGAGGGAGAGGACAGCCCCACACGAAGAGGCCATGCAAGCTAGGCCCGGGGCTTGGCCTGCCTTCTGGCAGTCCTTGCTCCATTCACTGTCCCCAGGCCCCTTCTTAACAGATTGTCCTTAGGAAAGGTGTCCCACCTCCTCAGGCCTCAGTTTCCCTCACTGAGCCAGGCCAGCGTGGTGCTTATGGTGAGTACTTTTCAGACAAAGATGGCCTGGGTCCAACCCCAGCTTCCCTGGGATGCTGTCTGACTGCCCGGCCCTGGATAGGGCAGTTCACTTCTCTGAGCCTCAGTTTCTCCTCTGCAAGGCAGAGACAGTCACATTCTCATCCCACTGCTGCTTGTAAGGATGAGGGCCTCGGTGAGCAGGCAGGGCCACGAGGCCAGTTGGCAGTTGCTCTCACCACTACTGCTGTGTTAGCCTTGAAGGGCTTTGGATGCACGTGTGTGCCCGGAGGCAAGGGGCTGGTCCCCAAGTCTGCCCCCCAGCTCCCAGCCTGCAGTACTCCTGGCTTCAGCAGCAAGTGATCGACAGGCTGGGCCGGTGGCATCCTGGCAGGCCTGTCCTGGCAGCTGCTTCCACAAGGCGAGGCCCTGGGAGCTTCGGAGAATTAATTAGGCTGCATTCTTCTTCCTGGGCTCCTGGCGGGCCCGCACAAGGCCCCTTCTGAGCTGCCGAGGGCTCTTGGCTCTGATCCCTGGCAGGCCAAGGCGAGGCCTACACTCTGCTCTCCTCTGAGAGGGGCTGGGGCCCCCTATGAGCCAGAAGCCCTGGCCTGGGGAGGGCCAGTGATCAGCCAGCAGCTCCAGGCCAGCTCCTGTGCTGGCCCTCCCTCGCTCAGCAACCTTCACCAGCCCCCATCACTCAGTGTCCGATTCCTGGCCCTGTGTGCTCTTCCCAGCTGGGCCCTGGCTGCTCAGACCAGCCGCCTCTCCCAGGACTCCCCTGGCCAGTCACACTGGCATGGCTGCCTCAGCTGTGGGATGCACTGTCCCTCATCCGGAGACGTGCAAACCCCACCCACCCTTAACTGCTAACTGCCATCCCTCTGGCTCACAGCCCTCCCCACCTGCTGTCCTTTCTCTGCCTGGTTTCCCTGCCAGCCTGGAGGACTCGAAGGGCAGTGGCGTGGGGACCAGCAGGGCAAAGCATGATGGTAGGGGAATTTCCAGCACAGTGGGGCAACGGTTGCTGTCGGTGTCCTCTGCCTAGAGCACCACCCCAAGACAGGTGCCGGGGCTCACACTGCCCATTCCTCTCTGACCCTCCAGCCTTTCCCGGCTCCCCTCCCCTTACGTCATCCAGGGGTCTGAGGGTGGCTCCCTTCTTGGGAGGGAGTCTTTGGTTCACCTATGCTCTTCCTTCTGCCTGGAACCCTCTTTTTTTATCTTCTTCCTTCACTTAACCAACTCCCTCCAAGCGTGGCTTACCTGCCACTTCCTCCAGGAAAGCACCATGGTTGGCCCCTCCCCAGGGCTCCTTCTCAGTGTGATTTTCCCCTAGAAGTTAGAATACTGGGTTTTAAATTCTGGTTTAGACATAATCAAGCTGTGTGACTTTGAACAAGATGCTGAACCTCTCTGAGTCTCAGTTATCTTGTCTGCCAACATTATTTGTGTTTTTAAGAGACAGGTCTTGCTATGCTGCCCAGGCTGGTTTGATCTCCTGGGCTGAAGTGATTCTTTTGCCTTAGCCTCCCTGTATCAGTATCAGGGACTACAGATATGTACTGCCATGCCCAGCCTACCACTTACTTCATCTATGGGATGTGAATAAGAATGATATTATTGCTTGCTATACAAGGTTGCTATAAGGAACCAAGGAGGTAATAGGTGGAGAGCATGGAAAGCTCTCACTAAGCAGGAGCTCTTAAAGTGATCTTCCTATTCAGGTGTTTTCTTGAATGGTCCTCCTCTTGACCTGCAAGAGTCTGTCTCCCTCAGAAGCAATTAGTTATCACTGCTGCATGAATGGATGGCCATGTTCCAGGAATTTATGGCTTTAATAGGCAAATGATATCTGAGCTGACCCTGGACTCTATTAGGAGAAAGAAGGAGACAGAGGGGGAGAGAGAAAGAGTGGGGGGAGAGAATATTCTTGGGGCTCATTCTTTGGTGAGGGGTGTGCAGAGGTGGTCAAGAGCCCAGTCCAACCCCAGCGCTGGATGTGCTCCCGGCTGCCGGGTCTGGGACCCAGCTTCTTCCGCACATGTAACCTGGGTAAATCAGGGTCATGCTCTTTGGGACTGTCTCTGTCCGGGACTCCAATAGAAAGAAAAAGAACGTGACTCAAAGAGCCTTGGAAGGGACTTAAATATTGACTGAACAGCCAGGGAGAGGGGAGATTTTTGTTCCACACAACCCAAACTTTCTCCCCAGGGCTGCACCATACCAGGCAATGGCTCCTCGCACAGTTTTCTCTGCTCGGTCCTGGACTCTGGTCCCTCAGCCCCACTGTCCCTTGCCAGGTCCCCGCTGACTGGAATATGGTCTAGAAGCAGCCGCAGGCTTTGCACACACATGACCCTTGGCCCTGCAAATTATTTGTCCTGTGAACAGAGGTGGGGCTGGAGGAGGCCAGATGGGACCCTGCAATGTGGGCCCTGTTTCCCAGGACTGTAGACCTAAGGCCCTGGGTGTTGCCCTTGCCGGGACCTGCCTCCTCTCCCCTCTGATCATCACCACTGCTCAGTTTCTGAGGCCACCGACATCTGAACCCTGAACAGGCCGTGGAGCCTGTGCCAAGATCTGTGAGCGCCTGCTTTCCAGGGCCTCCTGCACACTCTTGCCAGGACCCTCACACCTGGGCCAGGTCTCCTTCCAGCTGCGGCCCTGAGGCTGCCATGCCAGGCCGGGGCTGGCTGCTTTTGGGCTTCCAAGGAGAAGAGACCACTTTGAACGGGATGCTTGGATGCCAGGGAGTGACACTTCCTCCCATGATCAGACTTAGCTGGAATGTGCGGGTGTGTTTTCATCCTGGGCTAGGGTGGGCAGGAAAGGGCTGGCCCAGCCCCACTGCAGCAGACCAGCATGGGCTGTGACTTTGTTTCCCTGGGTGCGTGACTCCTCACTTACTCTTAGCTCTCAGAACACATTTCCAAAGCCCAGCTTTGACCAGGTCCCCAGCTGCTCACAGACCTTTCATGGCTCCCTGTGGCCTACAAGAGAAAGCCCAGCTCCTCACCCTTTGAGGCTTCTCTGGCTTCATCTCTCACCATTCTTCTGGCTTCTGCTTTGGCCTTGTGGGCCTCCTCCAGAGGAAGCTCCTCTGCCACTCCTACTGTTATGCCCTTACTGCCCCTTCCCTAGCCTGGGATGCCTCCCTATTTTCTCTCTACTTATCTGAGCCATGCTCATGTTTTGAAGGGACAAGAGTGCCACCTTTGTGCAGGGTCCTTTCTCCACCCCAGCAAACCCCGGTCTCTCCCTCCCCGCAGGTTGCTTGGCTCTGTCCCTCTCCTATGTGTTATGTAATCACCACTGGCAGCCTGGCAGACAGCCTCTGCCTCTTTCCAGGCTCAGCCTGACACTATAACTTACCTGCTCAGTGATTGCACCAGCCCTGTGAGTTGCTTTCCATTTTCTAGATGAAAAATACTGAGGCTCAGAAAAGAAAGAGATTTGCTCAAGGGCAAGCTGTAGTGATGATCTATGAATTCAGTCCACAAATATTTATTATGCACAAACGTACTGCAGATTTTAGAGCCAGAAGAGCTGGCTTCCAATGCTGACACCATCACCGGCTTACTGTGTAGCCTGAGGAAAATCATTTGCCTCCTCTGTGCATCATTTTCCTCATCTGTAAGATGAGGGTAATAAAAGTACCTGCATCACAGGATTATTGTGAGGATAAAATGAGTTAATCTGATAAAGTACACAGCATGCCAGTGTACAGCAGGAGCTCAACACATGCTAACATGTTATTCTTTCAGGACTGGTTTTATGGACAAAGCAGGGTGAGAGGAGTATGTAAATAACTATCTGTTAGTCCATAAATATTTCCCAAGTGCTGGCTCAAGTCATAGCTTGCCATTTCAGGACAGGCTGGCCATGGGAAAAGGGCATGGCCTACTCACAGGAGTTGGTTAGGAAGAGGGGTTGTGGATCCAGGCAGCTGCCATCAGGAGTGGTCAGGTTGCAAGTTGTCCCTGGGACCCAGATAAGCTATGTCTTGGGTTCTAGTAGGACTCATTACCCCAGTGCTAGAGCCCTGGGCTTCTGGAGTCTGGGAAGAGTCAAACTCCAGCAGGACCCAGTCCAAGACCCAAGGAGAAGACAGTTCCAGACCACACACAGCCTTGGAACCCACATGGTACTCTTCCTCACCCGAGAGATTTGCTCGGGGCCTCCCAGTCAGCCCTGGTAGGGACAGGGCACCTGAACAGAAGTTGTTCTCCACACTTTCAAAGTCTCAGCTTTTTCCAGTATGCTCTTGGGGAAGGATTGGCCTCTGCTTTCTAGCCTGGTGGGAACATAAGTCCCAGAATCCTGATGTCATAGCTGCACATGACTGCGTAAGTGCATGGTAGGCAAAAGCCCAGAGAGGGCAGGTTGGTAACCAAAGTAGCCTAGCAAAGGGGAGAGCAGAATGTGGGGCTCCAGCCGCCAACCCGGGGCCTTTTCCTCCCCTTTCTGTGTCCTTCTAACATCCTGGTGGCCTTTTCTTGAGAGGAGCCTCCCACTTCTGTTCAGTGCAGGCAAAACACCAGAATACCACTTCTCTGTTTATTACAAACACATGCTCAGGTAAATAATCAAGGATCTAAAAAAATACATTAAAATAAATAATTGAGATTCTCAAAGGCCTTAGCACAAATAAGTTATATACAGATGTATGAAGCAGAACAGGCTCTTCTCACCAACAAGGTCCCAAGGGCAGGAGGGCGCAAGGAAGGGAAGGGGCAGTTAGAGAGGGCAGATGGGAACCAGCCAGGACACCTGGGGCTGGCCAGCCTCCAGGACTGGCTTAGAAATGAGCATGCCCTGCTATGTGGTGGCTCTTGTATTGTAGCTCAGCAGACCAGACAATCCTCAGGACAGGGCCTCCAAGTTCACCATTGCTCCACGCAGTTCCTTCTGGCAGGGCTGTGGCCAGTAGCCAGCACCAGGGTCTGCCCCGCCACTCGGGAACTGAAAGCTCTCCTGGGCAGTGAGATGGCATGGAGCTGCTCTGAGCAAGGCTCCCTCCACAGGGATTGGAGGCCAGAGCTTGTGCCAATCCCAGCAAATGGATCTGGGTGGCTAGGCCAGGAGACAGGCAGATGGTCTCCCATGAGCTGCCCGTCTCCTCCCATCGCAAGGCAGGTGGGCTTCTTTCTCAGTACTCCTGCAACTCATGGAGCTATCTTTTCCTCCTCCTGGAGTGTGCAGGCCTGGACTCTCTTGTTGCCTCCTGCTGTCGCCTAGCAAAGTGGATCTTGGCGGTAGAAATGTCCCTGGAGATGGAGAAGGATCAACTGAGTACCTCAGGAGATACAGACCGCCCAGGAGCTCCCAGGGGAGGAAGGGGTGATGGGGCCTCGGACTGTCTTGGGTCAGAGGGTGGCCACAGCCTGAAAGCAAGGTCTTCATGTAAGGAGCAGACCAGCCCAGGTCTAGAAGCTGCCCAGGGGGACTTTGAGAGAGCTGACGTTTAAGACCAAAAGCTGCCACAATGACTGGACGACCGAGACAGCCCACGTGGCATCCATCACCTGCCCTTCCTCTTCACACCTTGCACAAGTGTCCACGTCCCCCTCGCCAGACTACACCTGCTCACATCTGCCCAGTCCTCAGATGGCTCAGCCCAGACACGCTGAACCCAGCCGAGCACCTGGCCGTGACTCGGGCAATATCCAAGCACCCCATTCCTGGGTAGAAGGGTACAGGCCTGGGAGTTAAAGGCTGGCTTTGGCCCCTACCTATTGGAACGTGAGTAGGGACACAACCTCTCTGAGACCGTTTCTCAGGCTATGAAATACAAAACAGGCCTGAACCGCAGTGCAGACAAGCACACAGTTGGCAGAGCTAGCTCTCTATACACTCTAAGTGCTGTGCACCTGCAGAGTCAGCCTGACCTCTTCTACCCTCAGACAGTTCTGTGTATGTACCTGGGGTGGGTCCTGCCCATCCCACTATCCTGTCTTTTCTTCCCAAAGATGGGAACCCCTGAGGAGCACACTGGGCCCCAGCACTGTCCAGCCCTAAGGAGCGCTAGAGACAGAGGCTGGATGGTGAAGACGCCTGGCGCTCTCGGCGGTGGGGGGGGCAGGCCTGCTCAGCATGCTTCCTGGACTTCAACATAGTTCACCGCACAACCACCTTGTGGGACCAATGCTGCTGTTTCCCTGCTTCAAAATAGGGACCTGAAGTACAGCCGGAGGTCCCACAGCATGTTTGCAGCAGGGCTAGGTTCACATCAGTCCGTCCCTGCTCCCAAAGCTTCATCCTGGGCCACTCTGCTACAAGGCCAGGCTGGGGCTTCAGTTCTTAAGACTGATTGGACAAATATCTTGTTTTGTGGTTTTTTTTTTTTTTTGGTTTTTCTCTGGTACCAGGAACCGAACTCACGACCTTGCGCTTGCCAGGCAGGCGCTTTGCCGCTGAGCTAAATCCCCAGCCCCGACTGGACAAATATCTATAGGCATTTCCGGTGCCAAGCCTTGAGATGAGCCACAGCAAGGCCACCAGGGAAGATTTCCGGTCTGGGGAGTGAGGAGGGAGCAGGCCGGGCAGTTGGCCCCTGTGAGCCCGAGCTCCAGGGAGGTGCTTGATTCAGTAGAGCCTGAATGAACAACTGTGGTCCTTCCCTCAAGCCCTCTAAAAGAGTGAACAAACAAGTCCAGAGCTAAGTAAGAGCATAGTCGTTACAAGCATAGACTCTGGAGTCACTCAGGTGCCATGAACGTTGTATGACTTTGAGCAAGTGGCTTTGCCTCTCTGAGCCTCAATTCTCTTGGAAGGACCATGAAGACCCCTTCCGGTCTGACATGGAGAATAAAGCAAATGTGCAAGGTATACAGGAAGTGCTCAATCAGTGCAGGTGCCTCTCACCTCAGCCTCTGGAGGAGCACACCATCTGTGGTCTGCGTCTTGCCAGTCTGTAACACAGCTGCGGGGGGCTGGTTGCTCGGGACTGTCACAGCTTCAGCCCTGAATAAATGGCAATAGGGCCCAAGTAAGGGGTTGTCCGGGCCCTGGAGCCACCTGGCTGCAGGCCCAGCCCAGCCCCTACCCTACCCCACCCACCCTTGGGAGCAGATCCATTTTCACCCCGTGCACCTGGCACCCTTCCTCTCCCGGGCAGGGTGGGGACTGAGGAAAGCTGAGCTACCGGGAATGTGTTCTTAGCCTCCAAAAGAGGCGGCTGAGCGGCTGGTCTTCCCAGAATCCAGCCAGCTGCAGCTGCGGGGAAACTGAGGCAAGAGTGGAGCCACGGCTTGAGGCCCACATAGGGTGTTTCTTGTAAATGAGCGTGGGAACTGGAGCTTGGGACTTGGGAAGCCAGCTCCAGCTTTCACGCTGAGCCCAAGTGAAGGAGGGAAGAAACAGAATCTCCACCTCTTCCACAGATGGGAACCAGAGGCCCAGGAAGTGAGGAGGCTCAGTGAGGCTCCCCTCCCCTTGCCCCAGCAGGGGGTCATAGCTTCCCAACTCCACAAGTGAGTTTTCCTTTGTGTGAGCTTGGAAGTTCCCAAGTGTCGGGCTGGAATCCAAAGCTGAGTGGGAGCTAGACCCGAGTCCTGCACCCTCCCTGGGCCTGGGCTGCCTAGTTTCCCCTCAGGAGCACCCATCCTGCCCAGGAATGAGGGTGTGAGTGTTCCTGGAGGTCCCAGTACTGGCAGAGGGAGGCACTCAGGGGTGCTGAGTCCCTTAGGCAGGAATAGGCCTGTGGTCCAGAGCCATCTATGGGCCTGAGGACACTGCCTGCTCCCAATGAGCTCTTCTGCTGACCTCCCAGACATACCGCTCCCAGGATGGGCTCAGCCTAGCAGCCCCTCTGACCCCTGCAAGCTGGGTGTCCTCCTACCTGGGTCTTCGATGGCAAAAGGTGGCACAGACAGGATCCCTGGAGCTGGAGCACTCGCAGCGCTTTGGCAGGGAGCGGCGCCGGCGTCTTGGCGGGTTTCCCAGGCCGTAAGGAGCTGTCTGTCTGTGGGCAGGCAGCCAGCAAGGTAGTGGTGTGGGGCGGCGGGGGGAGACAGAGAGAGAGACAGAAACACGGAAAGAGACAGAGACACAGAGACATACAGAGAGATACAGACACAGACACAGAGAGACAGAGACACAGAGATGCAGAGGCAGAGAGAGACAGAGAGACAAAGGCAGAGAGAGACAGAGTGTGAGAGGAAGGAAGAGAGAAAGAGAAGGAGAGGATTAGCTAAACCATGGCCATTGGAGAGCAGGGACTGCCCTTGCTGCGTACTGAGACAGACAGCCAATCATGCCACCAGAATGTCAGTAAATGGTGACCAGCCTCTGGCCTCAAAAAGTCCCACCACCAAAGTCAAAAGTCCTGCCACAAGTGCCTGGGTCGACCTGGACAATTCCCTGCCCCTCCCTGGCTCTGGGCACTGGCTCAGCAGGGGCTCAGGGAATGCTCCCAGCGTGGCGAGGAAGGGGTAGGATTTGCATGGTCCCACCAGTATCCAGGAACTGGGATGTCTTCCCAGCCCTCGTCCCCTCCTAGATAGGAAGTTCAGCCCATGCAACCAGGCTGGTCCCCTTGTTCTCAGAGTCTGCCATCTACCTTGGAGGAAGGGAAGAGCCTCTGTCTCATAGAAGCGACCACAAAGGCTCATGGCAGAGCTGCCCTACCTGGGCACCTCTTGCCTGGAGGAGTGGTCAACATGTCTTAGAGCTCTAACTTAAAAATGGTTTGTGCCTGAACACGTGTGTGTGTGTGTGTGTGTGTGTGTGTGTGTGTGTGTGTTTGGTTAATTTCAGATTTAATCTGACAAGATGGCCAGGGACAAGGCAAGGTCCCCAAGGCAAGTCAGACCAGCGCCTTTGAGTGACAGAGCTAATTTTAGACGGTGTAGTGGAGTTGTGGTGACTCCAGGTAGACCCAGCACGCAGGGACTGGCAGAGTTCCCGCCCTGAGAGTGTTTGGATGCAGATTAGCTCCATACATGCTTACGTGCTGGCTTTCTCTTGCCTTATGCAATTTGGGAAAGGAAATACATTCTCTCTCTCTCTCTCTCTTTCTCTCTCTCTCGCTTGCTCTCTCTCTCTCTCAGTTTGAGGTATGCAGAGACCCGGAGGCAGCACGGGTGCAGGCAGAGAAGATAGCACCTGGCTCCTGCCAGGGCTCAGCTGGGTAACCCAGGGCAAGCTCCTCATCAGTCACTTGGGGACGACCTGCTTCATGGGGAGGCTGGGAGCACAGGGGATGATATGCACATGCAGCACTTGGCCCAGAGCCTGGCACAGTCAAAACACGGGTGTGCTCATTAATCGTATTAGTCTTTCCCGAGGCACCTTGGCCCAGCTGGCGTGTGCCCTGACATCCACAGGCCTAGGATGGAGCGACCACTTTTCTGTGTGATCCATCTTAGGGAAGTCACCAATTACTTTAAGCCTCAGAACCCTGATCTGGAAAGTGAAGGCAGCACTTTCTTACCAGACCATTGTGAATACTATATTCGCAGGAAGCAGCCCTCTAACTGGCAGCTCCCATGAGAGTCGAAGCAATAACTAATCACTATTGCTGTTAGCCCAATGTCTCCATCTGCAGGCCCTGGACTGGACCAGAGGCTCCCCAGCAAACCAGTAGCCTTTCCACTGCCCCCACCCTTGTAGCTCCCATCTGGCCCCACGGATGCTCACCCAGGAGTGTTTACCCAGATGATGTCCAGGTGGCAGAAGTAGACACATTCCTTGTCAAGCCAGGAGCTGCAGGAGCAACGGCGGAACCTCAGGTGGGTGCCCCGGGCCCTGGATGAGAGCCCCGGCTGCTTCAGGGTGGCGGTAGCCTGGCCCTTCCCTGCATGCACAGGAAGGAGAGAGAGGCGGAGAGGTGGTCAGGTCCCCCAGCTGGTCAGGGGTAGGGGACCTGCCAGGCTCCTCCTCCTGCAGGATTGAGGAAGTTGGCACTCTCACTGCTCAGGAGCTCTGGGCCAGCCCGGGGAAGCCCTGCGGCCCCATGGGAAGGGCCAGCGGCCGCCCTGAGCCTGTGGCACCTGTGCATTTGCACAGCACCCACCACAGCCGCACCAGCTCCCACTGGTCCTCCTCAACGGACCGTACTGATGGGAGGACCCAGAGGTTGGAGCAGCAGGTGAGGCCAGGGCAGCTCACCTTCATGCAGGACCACGAGCAGAGCTAGAGCGATGGAGCACCAGGCCGCGAGCGTGGAGACCATAGCGGTGATACAGCGCAGTGCTGGACCTGAGCAGGGAGTGCCTGTTGCCAGTGTCCCGCTGCTAAGCCGAGCTGGTAGCTCATTGCCTCCGTGCCCTGGCTGCCTCTTATAACACCAGGCACTGTGCCCCGCCCCTGCTGGTCCACCCCACCCGCCTGGCTGCACCTTGGGCCCTGAGCCAGGGACACCGCCTCCTCCCTGGTGCCTGGCCCGCCCTAGACTCTGCGGGGAGGGGGGAGGGGGAAGTCTTCGCTCCTCCCTCTGTGCCAGAAGCACCTCTGGGAGTCCTGAGGCTCTTCTGCAGCCTCCAGGGAACTCTCCCATCCCTGTTTCCCCAAGACACCCCCAAATTTTCCCAGGCCCCCTCTCCCACTCTCCTGGTGCTGCTCCACAGGCCTAGTCAGGAGCTGAGTTCCAGGGGAAGGCCTCATGAGCAAAGCCTCCACCTCTCCTTCACAGAGATTCCTCCTGCCTGGTCAATGCCAGCCAGGCTGAGGATGCCCCTGTGCTGTGTGGGTGGTGAAAGGCCCATTCAAGGCTATGCAGCCTTGGGCGAGTCAGAGCCCTCTCTGGGCCTGCTTCCCTCAGTGAAGGACACAGCTCACACCTAACCTCTGACCAGCCTGGGGCTGTCTCATGCTCATTTTCCCCAGGAAGTGCTGCCCACCCGCTCCTCTTCCACCACCTCAGGGCCCAGAGCAGGGCTTCTGGTCTCTTCTGGAAGCTATTTAGCGGTGCAGCTATGGCCAAGGAGATCCACCCTGGTCCTCAGGTTCCCTACCTGCAAAAAGGCCAAAAGAGAATGTTTCCTGTGCTGTGTGGCTCACAGCCTCCCTTGAGACAAAGGAGGCTCCAGAGTACTTTCTAGAAAGATGCCTCTGTGAGTCTCCCACTTGGGACAGGCCACTTGGCTCACTGCAGTGGCTGCTTCATGCAAAAGAGGGAGGCGGCAACCAAAGGCAAGGCAGGGGGAGGGCACTTGCTGGGGATTGACATTCCAGTCCTGGTCATTGTGTTGGTCCAGAAGCCCTGCTGGAGACAAACGGATGCACGGACACTGAGCTGAGCAGCCTGGGGAGCTGGCAGACTCTCTGCGCCTGCCAGGCCTGGCTCAGAGTCCATCTCTAAGGTGTCTTTTAGGAGATTTCTTCTCTAGGCTGACAGGGAAGATCTTCTCTTTTCCCAGAATTCCCAGGACTGCCTGACTCCTGACATTGGGCCTATCCCCTGGCACTCCTGAGGCCCACTGTGGCCCTGTGCACAGTAGGAGGGCTGCCGTGCTCCCTGTGGGAGTGGGATGAATCACAACAGGTCTGCTTTTAATGGTGGGGCCAGGCACCAAGTTTTTCCTTCCTATATTCAGCATCTTCAGTTTCCATAGTAGGTATTCATGAAGGAAAGCAGGTGACTACAAGGGACGGGTAATTATGCTTCTTCCCAGGGTGCACCCGAGGGCATGTGTGTATGTGTGAGCCTGGTAACCTGGGGCCAAACCCACAGGGGACCAGCTTCATCCTCATCCTCCTCCTTCCCTCACGGTGAGGCCAGACACAGTGGGAATGAGAATAAACACTTGCTGAGCACCTACTGTGTGCTCAGCACACCTTCGACTGCTCCTCGTGGCCACCCAGAAGGCAGCCCTGACCATCCGGTGTCAGTCACGCCTGCCCTCCAGGAGGCTCAGAGAGGAGCAGAGCCACACAAGCATGCAGCTGGCACATGCTGAGCCACCCTAAGAGCCTGATCTTGGTCTCTCAGGCAAACCGCAAGAGACTCCCCCTGTGGGGCACACTGCCCTCTCCCATGTTGTGCTTCTCTAAGAATTCAGAAGAACATTTCTGGAATGAGGTGAGCAATGCTCCCAGTCATTTCTATTAGGGGGGATGAATACAGACGTAAGCAGGGCTGGAGGGGGGAGATGCAAACTACTGAGGCGGAAAAAAAAGAAAGCAGCAAAAGCAGGGCCTGGGGAGAAGGAGGGGGTCAGGGTGGAGAGGAAAACAAACGGAGGCAGATAAAGACAAGCAGGGAGAGAGCCCGAGAACAAGGAAGCAGAGCACAGCTTGAGCGCGAGAGAGACCTCGGATTGGAGAAAGTAAAAGAGAAAGACCATAGGGAGTCAGAGGCACGGTTCTAACGTGTCTAATCTTTACACAGATGCAAAACGCCTGCCTGGGACAATAGGGAACCAGAGGCTGTGAGTCTGGGGAACATAATAGAAGAATTAAACAGGCCAGAGACAGGATCCCTCCCTGGCAGGAAAGGAGGATGACGACAGGGCAGAGGCTGCTGCCCAGGCCGTGCAGGGTCAGCAGAGGAGCCACACACAGGGCCCAGCTCCGGTTTCCGCCCTTCCGCACGCTGGGCTCCAGCTGGGCGAGGAGGGCTCCTGTGAAATGGAGAGGCCTCCCCAGGAACCTGAGCGAGCAGGGTCTCGGGGTGAAGCCCTTCCTGGAACAGCGCTACCCCGCTGTTGGTTTCCAGGTAGAGAAAATTAAGCTGAGTTAAAAATAGCCAGCCCAGCGCCCTGGATCTCTTAGCTTGGGCCCCTTCTTGTTGGGCCTGTACACTCTCCTTGTGCCTTCTAGGTGGCCTGGCTGCATGTCCCTGCCATTGCTCTCTGGCCTGTCCCTCTGACCCCACTGTTCCAGCCCCCACAACTGGCCCAACTGCCTGCCCTGCTGCACCCAAACCCCTGTTACCTGCCTGTGTTTCTTTATTTTTTTGGTCTTTTCCGGTACCAGGAAACAAACTCACGACCTTGCACTTGCCGGGCAGGTGCTGTGCCACTGAGCTAAATCCCCAGCCCCAGCCTGTGTTTCTAAAGGCTGCAGAGAGGGCACAGAATCACCAAAGGTGATCCTGTCAGAATTTGTCAGAATTCAGAGGCAACTGTTTCACACACAAATGAGGACTCCTGGGTCTGGCACCAGCCAAGTTTGAGAAAGAGAGACTTATGGGGAGGAAAGATTGGCAGAAGAGGGCAGGTGAAGTGTGTTTTTTGGGCAAGATGCTAGGAACTGCCTTGTAGAAGTCCCCTCTGGTCTTCACTCCTGTGCAGTAGGTAACTGGGGCCCTAGGGGAGGCTCGACTTGCTCAAGACAGAAATAGGGCTGGGCACCTTCTCTCAGTTCCTAATCTAGCTCCACCCTTTCCACACACCAGTGGGAGACTCTTCCAGGGCCCAGCTGTGCTGGGATCCTGGATCCCTTTGGGAAAAGATATCAGAGGGATCCCACTGGCAGAAAGGCCAGGGCATTGGGATGAGTCTGGGCTATCTCTCTGTGCACCCCAAAGCTCCCTTTGTGATTCTTGCACTAAGGGGAAAGATGGTACCATCAAGCAGCCATCTACCAGCCATAAATACTATGCAGGTGCCTACTGCTGCTGGCGAAGCCCTGGACCAGGACGCATGGTCCCAGCTCTTCTGCTGTGAGTGTGTGGCCCTGGGCAAGTCTTGTCTTTTCCCTGGCCTCAGTCATCCTGCCTTCCCACTGATGGTAAAGGTGATTTCAGCTCTGCCTGTGGCATTGGAACCCGACTGGCTGCATGCTCTCGCTCTCAGTTTGGGGTCTTTTGCTCTCTTACCTCTGAAAACCAGTCATTTCCCCATGGGCTCCTAGCCTTGCCAGCATTCAGGAAGTTCTGCTTGCAGCCCTGATGGAAGGGACACAGTGTCTCGGTTGTAGGCACATACCATGCCTACGACTTAGCAGAGGGAGGAGCTGGGAAGAGAGGTTGGGAGCTTGTGGGCAATGATAGACTAGGAAGGCACTGACCTTGGAGCCGGCCTGGGCTGGGGGCTTAGGGACTTGCAGTAGGGGTCAGATGTTTGATCACTACCTGTCCTCACAGCTACAGGTTGGGCTGCTCCTCTTTGTGTCGAGGGGCCACTCGTTCTCTTTCTGGTGAGAGGTCTGGGCCTCCTGCCGTCAGCCACAGCTCACCCTGAGCCCACAAGGCCTGCCACCACCCACATTATCATCCTCACGCTGAGCCTCTGCAAGGGCGGCCTCAGCCCTGTGGGTTGGCTCCCTGATCCTCATGGCCTCTTCGAAGGACATCTCATGTTGGTTCTCCCCCTCCCTCCACCTCGGCCCATTTGGGAAGATTTATATTTCCCACATAAATTGTACTTTAAAGGAATAATTCATGTGCTTTGTTTGTGATTAATCTAAGAATAATCAGAACAGGGTCATCGAGGCCCACGGAAATGTTGGAATTTTAGCTGAAAACAGATGTTAAGTCAAAGCACCCAGGGCAAATGGCCATGTGAGTCTTGGACATTTTGAAATAGGAAAATCAACTTAGGGACTCAGCATTTTGGATGGATGTCTTTCGACTCCAAGGTTTTGAGGTCTCTCTTGGTGTTAAGGGCCTGGATCTCCTCTGAGACTTTTAAGAGTAGAGGGTATGTGAGCCTTTATTGAGTACTTATTATATTCCAAGCCCTGTGCTAGGTGACTTACATGCATTATTGGCTTATTAAATGTCACAACATATCCACGGCATGAGTACTGTAATTAGTACCTATGAAAACCAAGGCTCAGAGAGGCTAAATGACTTGCCCAATGTCAGACAGCTAGGAAGTGGCAGGGCCAGGATTAGAGAGCAGGCCTGAGCCCTGTGTATCCCCAATATGCTTTCCTGATTCCTCAGCCTTTAGCGAGCCCTCCACAGCAGCTCTTCTCCAAGGACACCTCCCTGCTTGAACCAGGCAGAGTTCCATAGACCTTTGGAAAGTCCAGGAGCCCAGAAGCAGAGGCCAGTCTCTTTTTCTGTGTCCCTGAACACAAAACACAGCATGTGGCCCGTGCCCAAGAAGGCTAAGGTTTGGCCACAACACTTACACTGGCATCGACGGTCTGTTCTTATTTCACTGGATCCCCAAACCAATCTGGAGGCTGGGCTCATAATTCTCATCACAGATGAAGCCCCAAAGGATGCAACTTACTCACATAATGACACACAAGGCAGGACTGGGACTTTTCCTGTTATATTCATGTACGGTGGGACCAACAGCTTTACACCCTGACTATACAGTCATTCTCCATCTGTCTACCTGCTCATCCATCCATCCTCTATCTACTGT